TGCTGAAACCCAACTGCTGGCTGGCTGCACATCAGGGGAGGGAAAAATGTGCCATGAGCTGTTAGTTATAAAGATAATTATATCCTTGATGAACAGCGGGGTCTTTTGGAAAACAGCTCTTCTTGATTGAATTAATGGAGGCAAAGCACAGGCTTTACACAGGCACTAGCAATGCCTGCACAGCCCTGACTTCACCCACCCTGAGCTCAAACCATCTCTGGCTGGGGCCACCATCAAGAGCAGGGTGGAAGAAAGGAGGGATCCCCACTGGATTCTGTGCACCCCAAATCCAGGGGCTGAAGGGAATCAGCCACATCCCCCCTGCATTCCCAGGCAGGACTGTGGTGTCCAACACTGCCAAACCAACACCTCAGCCCAACATTAGAGCAAGGTTTAGAGTTATTTTTAAAACATCAACAAAGCACTGGATGCCACAGATCCCTGGTCTCCAAGCCAGGGAGAAAGGAGCAGCCACCGCACTCCAGATCTCAGGAATGTGCTAAAGGCAAATGTACTCTCCTTCCACCCCCGGGATTATTTTTTCCTCCAGCTATTTCAGTTGATTGAGGCTAAAATAAGAACAGGGGAAAGCAACACCAAGGTTAAAAGTGCCTGGCATTGGTTTGGAGACAACACACTGTGATCCTGCTGGTTCAGGTTTCAACGTGTGTTAAACACAGATTTTCTGCAACATTTTACTGAATTACCTTCAAGATAAAAAAATCCCTGCCAGGGCAATCTAACAGATTTCCCACGAAGAAGCACATATAGAGTAAATATAAAAATCTGTTGGGGAGAAAACCAAAATAACCTCACTGTCACCTTGGTGCACCCATCACAGGCTGCACACAACAGCAGCTTCCCTGAACACTTTCAGCACTGAGTTTCCAGGCTGGAATCTGCTGCTGAGCCACGTGAGCAGCCCAGGAATCACCAGAATCATTTGTTTTCCTTTCCAACAGAGACTTCTCAATGTGGTTTTCCCCCCTTCCAGCTGAAGAGATTTTGCACCTCTCTGCAACTCCCCCCCACACACAGTGCTGCTGCTTTCCCTGCAAACCTTTCCTAAGGGATACAGGGATGCCCAGGGGGGTCACCCTTGGCTGAAATCGGGGCATTTCCACCCAGGCCGCTGCCTGCCGCCCCACTGGGGTGTTCTCTGTTTTCACATCCCCAAAAGCTCCTGTTTTAAAAGCACAGAGACAAACGAGGGACTGAAAGCATGAAGCAGCTTCATTAGTGGATTTGATGATTAAAAGCAGCCAGCTCTGTGGGCAGCTTAAAGGCAGACAGGGATGAAGATTCCCTGGTAATCACCCACCCACAGCAGGAACTGACCTGGCAAACCCCAGCCACTGTTTTAGAGGAGAAAAAGGCACTCAGCTATCTGAGCGAGCTGACACGCTGCATTTCCCCTCTAATGGGATTTTAATGCTGCTCTCGCTCCAGCCCAGTGGGGTTTTGGTCCTTGCTTGGAGCAGGGTCTGTGCTGGGAGGGGCTCTGACCACAGCCACGCTTTTGGGGCCCAGACCTGTCCCAAATCCCCCCAAAATGACAGAGCCAGACTGCATCCAGTCAGGGAGGCAGAACAAAGTTGCCAGAGCAGAGCAGGAACTCCGGATTCCCAGGCAAGACCTCCCTCAACTCTGCCACAACCCCAAGGTGCATTTCCAGCCCCGTGGAAAGGTGAGAGATGCCAAGCCCATCTTTAGCCATTACGAGGTCTCATTTCATTCCAGCCAGGCCATGGCATTTGTATTTGCATTACCCGCAGCCTCTCGGTCAGCACGAACGGGAGGTTGTGACGTTTCACGGCTCTTAAACTCAGCATCGCTTCAGGTTAATCAATGCAACCCTGGTTCTCAAAGCCAGGAGGTTTCCTGAGCACATCACACAGCCACCAAATCCTGCAGGAAAAACAACTGGCACCTACGGGAGCGCTGCAAGGAATTACAGGGTGGAGGAATTTTGTTGTCCCCATCCACATGCTTCCCTTTTGATACATAGGAAGTTCGGAGTCCTCTCCATGCCAGAGCTGCTCTCAAAGGAGGAGGAATGTTTTACTTCATTGTCAGGGATTTCTACCAGGGCACTCTGTAAATATTGAGGGTTTTCTCAGAGAGGCAGCAGCCTTAAATACGAGTTTCAAGGGAGCTTTAGCTTTTGTAGAGGAGGCACTCAAACTGCAATCAGTGGGAGGCATTACCGAGTGTGCTTGGGCTGAGAGAGGACACAAAGCACTTTAATTCCTGTTTTCCAGGAGAGGTCACACACAGTACCCAGAAGTTTTGTTTTTAAGAAAGCATCTGTAGGCTACACAAACAGGAAAGACAGACAGAAAATGCAGGGAATCGAGAAGATATTAATGTTTTACTGACCTTACCTGCAACTGCCTCTTACCTCCCACAGTAATAGTTCTCTACACCCAAAAGAAATCCAAGCACTGCCCTCAAGCACCAAACCACAGCACAGAGCTGAGTGTGCCGACCATCCCTGCCCCATCCCCTCCTCCCTGAGCAGCCTCTGCAGGACGCTGCAGCCAAAACCCAGAAAATGCCTCCTTTTGCCTTAATGGAAGTGGTTACCTCGGGGTACAGCTGGATCCCTGGCCTGCTGAATGACACGGGTTTTTAGGACGGCTGATTCCCTGACTGCCACTGCTTTTTAAGGACTGCAGCCAGTGGTGAAGTTACTAAAAGCTCAAGCTTTAAGAGAAAGATTTTTCTTTCATACCCTTCCCTTTACAAAAAAAAATCTCACTTTAAAACACCTGCATTGGTGCAAATCACCATTTCTGGGCATTTGGTTGCAATTTCAGTGCAGCCCTGACAATAAAAGCAGAAAAGTGTAAAAAGCCTGGGTCTTTTCCTTAAATGTGCTCCAAAAACAAAATCCCAGGAGGAGAAGGTACCGAAAAACACATCCACAGCACCAAGGTTAGCTGCCACTGGGCACCTGGCTCACACATCCCGCTGCTCCCGAGCCCACTGGAGATGGAAAGGAGCAGTCTGGAGTACTTTTGAAAGTTACAGCTCCCCGATCAAGAGAAGGGAGAGTCGGAGAAAGGGAGCAGAGAGAAATCCTAGCTAGCAGGAGTTAGTGCTCCCTGCACAGGGCTCCGCAGCCAGGAACGTGCAGTTTTTCCCTGCAACCCAGCAGGGGAATGCGCCTCGTCCAAGGGCACGGGCTGCTCCTGCCCTGCACAGCTGAGGAGTAGTAAATAGTTAATTACATGTACAGATCAGCACATTATGTGCAGCACGGCTCAATGCATTATTCACCGGGGCTTGGGGGAGAAACCGGCACAGGGGAGGGAAGGGAAAGAAGGAGAAATTTGTGCTGCCTCAAGGAGCATTTGATTTTGTGGCAGATCACCGCTAGGATGAGGGGGTGCAGTTTCCCTTTGGAGCACAGTAAATAAACGCACTTTTACACAGCACCAACACCCTTCCGAGCTTTTGCTGCGGGTACACGGGTGACAAGCACGGCACAGATCTCTACCTGTTGCACTGAAATGCCAGGAGCGGCAAAGAAACCGAGGCACGGTGCATCCCATGGAAACAACCCATGGAAGCCAGCGCTTCCCACCCCACCGCCGGTAACCCCAGAACATCCAACCTCAGCTCTCCGAAGGGGCACTTCTGGCTGCCTCCTCTTCGCTGCGGCTCAGCAAAGGGCAGGCACGCTCCAAAGGCAGTACTCAAACATTTGCAACAAAAGGCACGGAGAGGAGGCAGAACTCGCCTCGGTCCTTCTCACCTAGACAGCAGGGAATCCCCCACAAAGCAGGCTGCGTCCCACAGCACCACCGCGTCGCTGCTCCCGAGGCCGAGCGCCCTGGAATCATTTCTCCTTTTAATTTCCCCACTGCTGTGTGGCCAGCGAAGCCAGGCTGGAGCCGGGCCGTGCCTCAGGGAGAGCGGTGAAG